AATAAGGCCTAGAAATAGGATAATTTAATGAAAGGGATTTACATCTTGTCTATGAGAGATAAATTCAATTGCTTAAATAATGAGTTTAACTAGTTAATGAATTTGGCTATTTTTATTAATTAAAATATTGGAGAATTATTTCTACCTTGTCTATGAGGTTAGAATTTAATTCAAGCCAACCATTTTGAACACATTAATGACACCTAGAAATAGGATAAATTAATGAAAATAGTTTCTATTCTTGTCTGTGAGGAAAGAAATTATTAGTCCAATTTTAGTTTTAATTTCCCTAATTACTAGGTCCAAGAATATATCCATTTCTAATTACTCAATTCATTGCCCTTATTTGCATCAATCCATTTAAGTTTAATATTATATTTTTTTCCTTTAGTCTATTTTTGAGCCATCATTAGTATTTGCAAAATTTAATTTGCTTTCTTTTCCAAAAAGTAGTTTAGAAAATCAATCAAAAGTTTTAATTTGGAAAGCTTCCTTAATTTGCGATAACCTGTTACTGGACTTAAAATCAAGAAGCTCCTCTGCCATTCCTCGAGAGACACGATACTCGGGGAAAAACCGAAAGGTTAGACTCCGTTTTACTACAACGCCGCGAATGCGGTTATCAAATGGCGCCGTTGCCGGGGAATGGCACGGTGATTTCTTGATTTTGATTTTAGCATGGGCGAATTCAAGTTAGGGAGACTTTCTTTTTCTTTTTTGTTTTGTTCTCATGTGTTTGTTTGAGATTTCCTCATGGATTACTCAAGTGAACGCTTTCATTCTCAATCACCATATCACTATCCATACTATGAACAACAAAGTTTTCAAAATAATCAAAATGAAGGATACTATGGACAAGGTTATGAGGACAACAATCAATGGTGCGAAAATCCACCTTTGGGGTATGGAGATTACCGATTTCAAGAGAATTATTTCCACCAAGGGCAAAACTTTGAAGGCTGTGATGATTTCTCCCATCAAGGTAATTATCATGATGATTTTAATTATCATGAAAATTACCAAGAAAGGCTAGAAAATCATTACACCAGCACAAACGAGTACTCCTACGAAGGTGACTCTGGAATTTCACCATATCCTCAACACGAGCTCGAAGAGTTAAAATCATCCTTACTCGATTTTGCGGAAGAATTAAAAAGGGCAAGGATTGAACTAGCATCTCGTGACCAAAGTATCAAAGAATTGTTTGAACAAATCAATTATGACAATGAGCACAAGGTTCAAGAGGAGACATACGAGGGAGTTACTAAATTTGAGGAGGAGGCTACGGTAACTATGGGCGAGATGGTTGAAACCCGTCTCACCCATATTTCTTATGAGCCTCTCATTGCTACTAAGCTAGAGCCTATCCTCGTAGAACTTAGTCCTGAAGAGCCACATATGAAAGTGTCCAATGAGGTTGATGAGGAAACCATAGATGATGAGATACTTTGTGACAAGGAACCTACCCTACCATCTATGGATGACCTCTCATTTAAAGAGACCCTCAAAGATAGCCTTGGTCAAGATTTTGATCCTACACAAGCTCAAGCGCCTGTTGAAGTAGTTGATGAAACTTGTGATGTGGAGGAAACAATGTCCGATGATGCCTTCTTTGATTCTCTACTTGGTCATGATGATCATAGTTGTGCTAGGCAAAGATCTGTTTGCCTAGATGATATTTGTGGAGGTAGTGAGTTAGGAAGTTGGGATGCATTCTTAGAGAATGACACAGAGTCTAAACTTTGTGATTTTCATGTTGAGGGCATAGATGAAGAAGAGAAAACCCATCAAGAGGAGTATGCAATCTCTATTCAAGCTGTTTCTACCTTGAAGGCTCTTTATGAGCAGTTGGAGACACCAGAGGCACCTGATCCTGAAATACTTGTTGATTATACTAATGAGAGTGATGCAGGATATGTGCTAATTTCTTGTTCGAACGATGTGTTCTTTGAAGATTATATCACATTTTGGTGGCCACGAGAGTTCGAGGGTCTACGCCATCTGACGGCATACCTAGAGGATAAGGTGGAGGCACTAATGATGAGTGCTCCACAATTGACATGCATAGCTGAGAGTTCTCTCTCAAACGTCAAGCTAGTGACGTTAAAGAAGCGCTTCTTGGGAGGCAACCCATGTTTTTCATAACATTGTTTGTTTGTTTTGTGTGTTTGCAGGGTGTGCTTCAATGTTGATGAGATAAGAGATTGGCTTAGGCCTCACGGGGAGGACACGAGTGATGCTTAGTTTTTGTTTCTTCCTTAACATTTTATTATGTTTGTTTGTTTATTCAGGTTGGACATTGTGCTGCTCTTTTGACTTGAATGCTCTTACAAACTGACTATGAGTGATGTAAAGATTTTTTATTCCTCTTTCATTGTTCCTCTTCACAAAATCTTTTCAAAACTCAAGTGTGAGGAAAGAACCTAAAAACAAAATGTGCCTTTATTTCAAAACTTTGTGCCTTAAAAGGAGACCTCGAGGGCGAGGTCTAGCTCAAGTGTGAGGAGGTTGCGTTTTACACTCAAAGGTTAAAAACTCGTTTTAGAACAATCTTTTTACTATTTTTGATATGAAACATTAATTTCTCAATTTGTTATCAATCACATAATAGTTTAGATAATCACCCTTATTATAAGAATTTACTTTTATTATTATTTTTAGAAAACTTAAATTTGTTATGGGTTTTTAATTGTGAATGTAAAGGGCTGAAATTGTTTTAATTGGACATTCATTTTATTCATTAAAACAAAAATGCTAGTATTAATGAAACTCCAAAACTCATTGTTATAGGACAATTCCATCTCCAAAAAGGGGCTCTGTTTCATTCGTTAATCATAGTCTGTGAGAATGAAGTATGCATTTACCATGGGATAACACCGCCAACAAGAGTGAAAAGAAAAAAAAAATGGTGAACAAGATGTATGTCCAATTTAGAATAATGAAAACCTTGGGATAAGGAATTGATTGGTGGTTTAACATAATAGTTTTCTTTAGTAATAATAATATTAAATTCATATATCTTGGGTGATTTTTCTAAAAATATTTAAAAATTGAGAATAAAAGAGAGATTTTGTTTTTCCTTCTTTAATAGCAATTCGATTGTGATAAAGTCAAGTTTTACATCTTTTTAGTGTGGTTGCAACTAATTTGTCGCTTGAGGACAAGCAACGCTTAAGTGTGAGGAGATTGATAAGTCCATTTCTGTACTTATTTTTCTTATCAAATTTAAGCGATTTTTGATTGAAAATAGAAAGAAAATGCATATTTTAGATATTTTGGTTCAAGTTTCATAAAATCAGGTGAAAATCACATTCATAATATATTTGCCGGAATTTCGGGTCGATTGAGCACAAAATGAGTCAATTTGAGTAACAAATGAAGTCATACCGGAAGAAGTAAGCATTTTATCAAAGTGATCCAGAAGACAATCTTGGAGAGCAGGAAACGCAGGAATTACCAGACAAAATTGGCAGAAGGCGCCCAAAATGGCCGCTTGGTTGGCCGCCTGCGGGAAAAATCAAAAGTCAACCTCGCTTTGACTCGGAACCAGGAAAAGAACGAAGGCTGCCGACACCAGGAAGAAGGCGGCCGCCCTCGGTGGCCGCCTGCGGCACAAGGGTACGAAACCAACCACCGGCCGGTGAGAATCGACGGCAGACGGCCAGACAGGAATGGCAGGCGGCCGCCTGCTGGACTGCCTGCGGCGGCCGGGATCCGCCGCGATCCGATCTGCCGGCGAAAAGACGGTAGGCGGCCAGATTTGAGGGAAGGCGGCCGCCCTCAGTGGACGCCTGCGGCTGACGGAGACCAGCGCACGTCGGTCTGCCGGCGACTTGACGGCAGGCGGCCAGATGCTGCCGGAAGGCGGCCGCCTGCTTGGACGCCTTCGGGATTTTTTCTTCTATAAATAGCAGGCTTTTTCCTCATCTCAAAAACACCAATTTCAAGCCCAAATCAGATCAAAAAGGGCGTCTTCTTCCTCCTCAAAGCTCGGATTTCCACCATTGTTGCACCTTCAACTTCAAACTTTCATATCTTTCTCATTTTAGCTCCAATTGTGAGTTCTTTATATGTATTTTAATCCTTTCAATGAGTAGAATTTGAATCTGTACTTAGTTTTTTCTATCTGTGCTTCTAAAAATTTCAGAAAATTATTCCACTATTTCGCATTTTCTTCTTAAATTTGAATAAAATAGTTGTTGACATTAAATCCATTCCAATTAATTATATAGTTGTTTACTAGCCTCAAGGTAGTTATTTATCAAAACAAAGTTAATTTTTACGAAGTAGAAGTAAATTTTAATTAATTCCGGCATTTAGTTGTTATTATTGCACAAATTAAATTAAATACTCAAAAAAGAAAAAAATATAGTTTCTGTCCTAATTCCAGTTTAATAAACAGTAATATCACTCCCAGTAGTCAATATAAAATTTAGAACGAATTTAGAATATTTGTAGTTGCTTCTTTTGTATTTTCTAGTTAATATTGGGAAAATTATCAATTAGTTGTTAAAATTGGATTTTAGGTGATTGTTGGGATATATTATCCCGGCCTATTATTGTTCAGGAGCCCAAGACTGTACGTAGTACGGAGCCCGATCAACGAGGCCTATTTCCAGCCTATCAGGCCTATTTCGGCCTTTGGGCCCATTTTGGGCTTATTTGGCCCATTAGGGTAGACTTATTCCCTACTCCCTTTCCCCTATAAATATGGGGCTTTCCCACATGTTTAGGGATCCTTTTCTTCTTCCTCCTTCTCACTAGAATAGCTTAGAACTCCATTAATGGGAGCTTCAATACTTGTACTATGTAATGGTGAGGAGAGTCCTAATGAGAATGAGAGGGCTTGGACATTAGCCTAAAAAGTCTCGTGGTTTTCTCCCTTTCGGGTTTCCACGTAAAAATAGTTTGTTCATACACATTTATACATATATTTACTATATCGTGTTGGATTAAACTCAACACTGGCGCCGTCTGTGGGAATCAGTTCAAAAAGTTTAGCGTGTTCTTGATTTTTCTACGATAAATCTGAGGCGAAGAATTGATTTTGAACAACTATACAAACAAAAAAATAATTGATACGAGAAGATTTGGAGTTTCAGAAAAGGAGGAGGCGGGCAGATGCCAAACTGGTGGCCTCCAATTCACAAAAATACAAGCACAACATGTTGGAAGGCCGAACTCGCATCCCCATTCTCCATTATTTCCAAGAACTAAACCTATGAACAAACATCAACATTTTGGATCTGGCGAATGAGTGCATGACGGGTCCCACCAGTCACACTATCCTGACAAATAAAAGGGAGGAAAAGCTGGTGATTGATAGGGATAGGGGCCCGCATGTTGACTTCCATTTTTTGTTGAAGAATAGCTCTCACATTCTGAGCTGCGCATGAGGAAAGATTCTCACCGCCCGGAGCATCAAGTCGCATCGTCCAGGCCGCCCAACGTTGACACTCCCCGCCTGGCGTTGACTGTACCCAGCCTTCGCATCGGCGACGCACGATCTTGCTCACCAAAGTGCTGAAGGCAGGAGTGCTAGCACAGCCGCACGGCCTAGGGGCCCGAAGGGAGACGTTCGGCTGGATATAACCGTTTAATACTCTTATTACACGGTGTGTGGGAGACGCTCGTCCGCTTCCTCGGCCTTCAATGGTGAGCTGGAGTTTCTTCCGTGCTGCCATACACTCGTTCGATTCAGTCTCAGCCCGGCGTCCTCGGTCGGCTCGCCGGTATCCGCCGGGTGGAGGTGACGCTCGAACTTGATGCCATGTGAGCTCGATGGACTTCTTAAATCAGATGAACGATCACCCCTATAGCTGGTCGGCCGGCCTCAAGCACCCCACGATGCTGGAATGGCAGTGACACACATCCTTGGCCAGACCGGTCCCAGAGAATTCCCAGACGTACGTCCCTATAACTACGTTTTGGGGAGCCTTAACCTTCGTCTGGCACCTCATGGCTTGCCGCTCGGCCTGTGGTCCGTTGCCGCACGACATTCCACTCTGAGGACGGACGTCTTGCCAGGTCATAAGTGCTCACCATCCGACCAAGTTTCATCCAGAGTATACCGCTCGGCCTCCGGAGAGCTTCGGACCGACAGGGGGCCGTTCGTCCTTTGCAAACGCCGTCTGTACACCGGGCAGCTCGGCCCTTGCGGCAAGCTCCAAATGATAAGGAAGTAGCCGCCCAAGAAGGTACCTCGGCTGGGGCCCACACCGCCCCAAGCCACCAATGGCAGGATTTCGCCGGACAGAGGAGATTTTTGCTAGATGCTCTGCAAATGGCCGTGATAGAGTTTGGGCTTCAATTGCGTGGAGATGCGCGTCCAGTTGATGCGTCCAAGTTAAAAGTCTCAATTGTTGACCAAGTCAAAATTAATAACTAAGGGAGCAAAACTGCCGAGCGTCTTCTTGAAGCTAAGGATTAAATATATCAATTGCTTATTAGTGTTAACTAGTATTATTATTACAAGTATTGCTATCATCATTATTTAATGGGAATTAAATATCCCGGAATTAAAAATGATGCCGCGAAGCTCGGGGATGAGCTTCCACCGGGTTTTTAATTTAATAATTAGGAGATGAGCCGAACCGAGGGTCATCGTACCCCAAGGCCGAGGCTCATGTCCGGAAGAACTAGGTGATGGGCCGAGCCAAGGGTCATCGCACCCCGAGGCCGACGGTCACACCCGGAAGAGCCCCATATTAAAAAAAAAAAGGTGTGCACATATACATATTTGATAGAGTATATGGGACCGGACCCCATGGCCCACATACTCAAGTCAACGATGGCCAGAAGAACACCCACGTGGCCCCCTTCGGCAGTGGGTCCGCATCGGCCAGAAACCAAACCGGCCCAGGAAGCACGCATGGACTCCCGGGACCGCAACGGCCCATGGACCGCATCGGCCATGGGACCGCATCGGCCAAAAGTGCACCGCATCGGCCAGGCCTCGTCCTAGCAGAATGCATTTCTCTACTTTATTTGCTAAGTATTGTACTCAGCCCATTAGTGGCCCTATTTCGCCCAAAGAAGGCATGATTATTGTAATGGGCCTCCTAAGCCCATGGCTAGGAGCCCAAATCCACATATTTACCTATAAATAGACCCCTTGGGGCTAGTTATAGGGGGTTGAAAAACATAATTACTCACTTTCTCTCTCTAGTTCTCACTTCTCTCTAGAATTAATACTCTATCATTTGGTGCTCTCATTGAGAGGTTAGAACAGATCAAGTGAGTACCCCTCGTCGCTACTAGACGCAACAGAATGACAAGAACTAGGTCAAAGAACACCGGAAGGAATGCCCCTCTGAACCAGGAAGGGCAGGGAAACGTTGCTGACAACGTCCCCAATGATCTCATCATCCAGGATGAGAATGCTCAGGAGGTCGAGCACGCAGCGGCCGACCTCCGCGTCCAGCTCAACAGGACTGCCCCGGACGCCCGCATCGGGCTCGAGGACAGGCGCAATGCTGATCGCGCTTCGGGCCAGCAGACTTCTCACCCTGCTGCCCCCCAGATCAACCCGGCCGCACTATCGGCCATCGTCGCAAGCATTCTCCAGGACCCCAACGTCGTCAGCGCCCTCGTCGCAAAGACAGGGGAAAACAACACTCCCGTGACTGGAGAAGTCGCGACGGTACCACCACCGCCGCCTCGGCCACAGGGCGTCACCTTCTTCGGCAACGACGAAGGCATCCTCGCCGCGGACACCCATTCCCATACTGCCTCTCCTACCCGGGATACACCGGCCCAACCTCGCGGTAAAATCTCGGCCTTCAACAGGCTGGGTGACATCGCGAGCCGTCGGGTACCTACGGGAAGGGTTGCGGATCGGTTGGGTGGTCGCGAGCCGGGATCACCAAAGGAAAGCTTCGGGTCCGTCTCCCGGACAACGGATCGGCCCCGACCAGACAAGGGCAAGGGAAAACTGAATGAGGATGATGCGCGTCACCAGATCAACCTGGCCCACGCGGCCCGGATCCAGACCCCTCTGGGTGGCGCTGCGGCCAACACGGACCCGAGGGACGAGATCATCGCACGCCTGGAAAAGCGCCTCGCTGACATGGAGGCCCGGGAAGCCGCAGGGCGCGCAGCGGCTCACACATCCCAGCATCCCAACTACGATGCACTCCTGCACAAGGTCAGTGCCTTGGAGAGGGAGTTGGCCGACCGACGCGACGAGCCCGTCATCCAAATACGGACCCGGACCCCCTTCTCTGCGAGGGTGCTCTCCGCTCCCATCCCAGAGAAGTACAAGGGGAATCCAATCAAGCCGTATGACGGCCGCACTGATCCTCAGGAGCATTTCACCCGCTACCAGAACAACATGATGATGACCAACGCTTCGGAGGAATACATGTGCCGCTGGTTCCTCTCCACCTTGGAAGGGCCAGCGTATGATTGGTTCAATAACCTTCCAGAAGGGAGCATCGACTCATGGCAGGACCTTGCTCAGCGCTTCCTCACCCACTTTGCCGGGAGGAAGCGTGCGAAGAAGCATTTCGCCCACCTCCTGACCATCAAACAACAATCGGAGGAGACACTCCGAGCCTTCCTCGATCGCTGGACAAGGGAGGCGGACGAATGTGAAGGGGCCGACGAGCGCACTCTCTTGGCTTTTCTCCGCGGAGCACTCCGGCCTAGCCACTTCGCCCGGAGCCTGTTCACGGAGCCGCCGCGGTCATATCTCGCGGCGCTCCGACGCGGAGATAGGCACGCTGATGCCGACGAGCTCCTGAACCAGAAGAAGGGTGGGGAGAAGCAACAAAAGAAGGACTCCTCGTCCCACCCCCACCACCCGCCGGCCAACAAGGGACAACACCAGCCAAAGAGGGCACACCAGGAGCAAGGCGGACAGCGAAGAGAGGACCGTTCATGGCGCCCGAAATTGGAGGCACAGCGCATTCCCCTCACCCACCCGGTGAGCGTCGTCCTCGACCACGCCGAGGCGCAGGGCCTCATTGTGAAGGACCCCAGGTCAGAGGAGGAGATATTTGCGGTCCACAAGGGAGGGACGTATTGCAAGTACCACCGCCAGACATCCCACAAGACCGAAGATTGCACCACCCTGAAGAGGCACATCGACGGCCTCGTCCGACAGGGGGAACTTTCCCAATTTGTCAAGGGTGCCCCCAAGAGTAACACTTGGGTTAACCCTGGCAAAAGGGGGGAAGGATCCTCCGGGAAAAAGAGGGAGATCGGCGCCCTCAGTGAAGATGAGGACGAAGAGGAGCCCCGCCAGAAAAAGCATCACATTCACATCATCGTCGGCGGGAACACAGGGGGGGACTCGGCTACCCAACGAAAAAAATGGGCTCAGTCCCTATACGTTGGTGAGGTGTCCCACGCCCCCCCTCAGCCGAAGCGACGACACTTGGAGGCCATCACCTTCACCGACAAGGACCTCCCCTTCGGCCCCTTGCCTCACAGGGATGCCCTCGTCGTCAAATGCGAGATCGGCAACAACATCATCCATCGCAACTACATCGACACCGGCAGCTCTGTCAATGTGATGTACGTTGACACCTTCAGACAGCTGAAACTGAAGAAGACCGAGCTCCGGCCGATACGGACTCCGTTATCCGGCTTCACCGGGGACTCTATCGACGCCGAAGGCACGATAGTGCTTCCCGTTGTGGTCGGTGACGGTACCTGTCAGGCGAAGATTGACATGGAGTTCGTGGTCGTCAACCTGGACAGCGCCCACAACATGATCTGGGGACGACCGGCCTTGGAGGACCTCGAAGCCATCATCTCCATGAGACATCTATGCCTCAAGTTCCCTACCAAGGACGGCGTCGGCTATGCCAGGGGAAACCAGAAGATAGCCAGGGCTTGCTACCTGAAGCTCACAAGGAAGATCAATGAGGCCGAGGAGCGGATAGACACTATCACCACCGCCTCGGCCGAAGAAGACACACCAAAGGCTGAACCGGTCGGAGACGTGGAAGACGTTCCGTTGGACGTCTCCCGGCCGGAACGCACGCTGAAGATTGGGACACAGCTCCCCCAACAGATCCGAAGGGACATCCTCTCTGTCCTGAGAGCGTACGCCATCGTCTTCGCGTGGGGACCAGAGGACATGCCGGGCATCAGCCCGAAGGTAATCACACATCGGCTATCGGTGAACCCGGCCTCCTCCCCCATCAAGCAGAAGAAGCGCTACCTCTCAGCCGACAGGAGGGAATTTGTCAAGGCCGAGGTGGCCATGCTGCTCTCCATCAAGCACATCAAAGAGGTGAAGTACCCCACGTGGTTGGCGAACGTCGTCCTCGCACCAAAGCCGCCTACGTTCAGAATGTGTGTTGATTACACTGACTTGAACAAGGCGTGCCCAATGGACCCATTCCCCCTCCCCAACATTGATCAGTTGGTGGATGAGACGGCGGGGTGCGAGTTGATGTCGTTCCTCGACGCGTTCAGAGGGTACCACCAGATATCCATGCACGAAGATGACGCGGAGAAGACTGCTTTTATGACCCCGGAGGGAATTTTTTGCTACCTCGTCATGGCCTTTGGGCTCAAGAACTCCGGCGCCACCTACACAAGGATGGTAGCCCGGATTTTTAGAGCAGTCTTAGGTCGGACGATGGAAGCATACGTCGATGATATGATCGTCAAGAGCAGACAATCCACAACTCATGCCGACGACCTCCGGGGCATCTTCGAGATCATGAAGAGATACAACCTCCGGCTCAACCCAAAGAAGTGCACCTTCGGCGTCCAGGGAGGTAAATTCCTGGGGTACCTGGTCAGCCGAAGGGGCATTGAAGTAAACCCGGAGAAGATACAAGCCATTATCAACATGGAGCCGCCCCGCAACATCAAAGAAGTACAACGGCTGATGGGACGCCTTGCGGCCCTGAACCGTTTCCTTTCAAAGTCCGCGGAGAAGTCGCTCCCCTTCTTCCAAATAATGAGAAAGGCCACCAGCTTCAAATGGACGACGGAGTGCCAACAGGCCTTTGAAGAGCTGAAGCAATATCTCGCCTCCCCACCCGTCCTATCCAAGCCCCAAACCGGCGAGACTCTCTTCCTTTACCTAGGAGTGAGCACGTCGGCCGTCAGCTCCGTACTCATCAGGGAGGATGACGGAGTACAAAAGGCAATATTCTACGTCAGCAAGACGTTGCGGGAGGCCGAGCTCAGGTACTCCCCCATTGAGAAGACGGTGCTGGCCATCGTCCACACGGTGAAAAAACTTGGGCACTACTTCCAGGCTCACCCCGTCCACGTCCTCACCCATCAGCCGTTGGGCGCCCTCATGAGGAGCCCAACCAGCTCTCCAAGGATGATCAAATGGGCGATATTCCTAAGCCAGTACCAGATTGAGATCAAGCCGAGGCCATCCATCAAAGGCCAAGCCTTAGCTGACTTCGTCACCGAATGCACGGCAAGGGAGACGGCCGTTACCACCACAGGAGCTGAACCGGACGAAGCCTGGACCCTCTACACGGACGGCTCCTCGGCCACCAAAGCTTGTGGAGGTGGCGTCGTCCTCATCTCCCCGGAAGGATTCAGAGCATACTACGCCATTCGCTTCAACTTCAAAGTATCCAACAATGAGGCCGAGTATGAAGCACTCCTCAGCGGACTCAGACTGGCCGCCGGCCTTAAAGCACGCCACGTCAGAATCAAATGCGACTCCAAACTCGTAGTGAGCCAAATGGAGGGTTCCTACGAGGCCAAAGAAGGGAGAATGAAGCAATACAAGGAGGCCGCTGCGGAATTGCTCAAGGCGTTCGATACCTACGAGATCACTCAGATCCCAAGGGCGGAGAACGCCGAGGCCGACATACTCTCCAAACTCAGCTCCGACACCCCTGAGCACATCTCCAAGATAGCTAATGTGACACCGTGCCCGTATGTACTCGAATTTGAAAGTTGATATGTATTTGAATTGCCTAGCGAATAAAATTCGTGTGATTGATTGGCACATTTAATTAATGTGCGATTAATTGAATTATTCTATCGAGCCCATAATAATGAGAATGAGCTACCAAATATTTAGTTGGGTTATCATAATAATTTAAGGAGCCCAATAAAGGGTCAACCAAAGTTGATAAAAATATTTGGACAACCCGAATGCTATTTTGGCCCGACCTACCGAAAATAGCAGGAATAATTGGGAGGGACTTCCTACACCCACTTGGGGTATCCTATACACTAAATTAGCTCAAATAATAAGAGAGGGGGACCACACAAATTTGGCTTGTGCGGATGATTGAGGGGAGAAGTCTCCAAGAGACAAACTCACACCCCATGTTCCTATTCCCACACATTATTGGGAAGGTGATTGAGAAGGCATCTTTCACCCACCTTCTTGCACTCATTCGGCCAGCCATAGAGGGGGGGAGTTCAAGGATAAGCTCTCACAAAAATCTGTGTTGGAGGGATCAAGAAGGAAGGGGAGCTCAAGGGAAAAATAGCTAGAAGAGAGGTAAGAACTTAACTAGTTCCCTTTAGCTAGTTTTTGTGTATGATTTTTAAGAAATCATATGGTGGATTAAACCATGAGTTTTACACGTTTAAAAAGTGTATAATAATGTTATAAAGTGGTGGTATTTAACTTAGAAGAGTCGTGGAATCGATAGGAGTTGAAACCGCCGGAAACCGCCACTTGAAGGGAGCTGTTCGTAGTTGCAGACCACGAAAGCCGCCCAGCTTTCGTGAAAGCCGCCCGGCTTTCATCATTCTGCCCAGAAGTTGCTTTTGATCGGTTTAGAACGAGGGTTGATCGGAGGGCTTAACGAGGACAACTATTTCAGCACTTCATAAGGTGAGGATGGCTGACTATGTTGTTTATAATCTTTGGGTTAATTTCGTAAGATTACCTAAAGTAATTAAATGTCATTTTCATGGATTATTAATGATTAATAATGCCTAAATGAAAATGTTGTTGTTAATGAATAAAGGAGCATAATATACAAATTTAAGGATGAATTGTGTATGATTATGTAATATGAGCATATTGGCTTGATGAAGGGATTAATTATAAATATTTTGTTGAAATATAATTTTAACTTCATATAGGGATATATGAGTGATTAAAGATTATATTTTGTATATTGATATGAACTATATTTTCAATGGAAAATTAGTTTGGAAATTGTCTATATGACTATGAACTGAAAAATGGGTTTTTGTTGGAATTAATCCGACTAGTATTATGATACTAGTCGGGGCTTTGGAATGAAATATGTTGGAATTGATCCAAGGTTTGGATTGTAAATTGTAGAGCCTTAAGTAGTCTTAAGAGATACTAAGGTGGATAAGTGATGCTAGGGGTAGGCCTTAAGGGATACCCAAGATAAAGTGAATAATAAATTGATCCTAGGAATAGGATTGGCCTACGGGTGTATTCGGTAGTCTTTAAGGATTAGCCGATAGAGTATTGGTAATTAGTAAGGACCATGGCCCTTCCCGACTCTAGAGAGCGGGGTTGGATAGCATGGACTTACATCGTGATCACGGGTTAGGGTGGAATCCGAACCGGAGACCTTACGAGGCTCCCGACAGCGGTAACACATAAGATAGGACCCCGAATGGACCTTACCTTCCTACGGGACGATGGGTATGAGTTCAGGGGCGGGATGTTGGACTCCGGCCCGAGAGCCCGGTGAGGCCTCGGAGAGCGGTGACAAGTCCCGTAAAGGATGATAAGACCTACGGGCGGTGTCGTGCTAACGACGGGTATAATGAAATATATGAAATGGGCCGTGTGCCGACAAATAAATAAATTTACTTATTATAGAGATAATAAGTGGGAAATATAAATTATTATTTGTATTATGATATCACCCTATTTTGAGGGTCTTAGAAATTAAAACGTTGATTATACTTAGTATAGTTGTCATTGTACTTGTCAAATGCTTCCAAGTACTGACCTCCCCTTCACGGGGGAGGCCACCTCACAGTTTCAGGTAGGGAGTAAAGCTTGCTACCATCGCCCGTTGCTTCGGGGAGCTCAGGGAGAGAAGACGTGGTTCGTGCTTCCTCCGTTCCATTTTTAAAAACATTAAATTAATGCTCATGGATATTATTTTGAATAATTATTTGGGGCTTGTACGCCCATGATGCCGAAGTGTGGCATAAACACTTGTATTAAACGTTTCCGCTGATTTAAATGATTATTTTACATTATGTTTGTTTATGGATGTACTATTGTGAATGATATTCAAGACGCCTAGTATAGTATGGATGAGTTGGACTGCGGTTGACTATTCGTACTGTACGGCGGGTTGTTGACGTGTCCGGTAGGTCCGGGGCGTGACAGCTAAGGTGGAGGAGTTGAGCATGTCAAGCATTCATGCTAGCCCTATACTCTCCATCCAACACCAGCCGGAGGATTGGATCACTGACATCGCGACATACATCACCTCCGGCACGCTACCAGAAGACGAGGAGAGGGCCAAACTAGCCAAGCTCAGGGCCCCAAGCTACGTCATTGAGGGTGACAAGCTCTACAAGAGATCATACAACGGCACTCTCCTCCGGTGCCTACACCAGAATGAGGCCGAAGTGGCCATGGAAGAAGTCCACTGCGGCGTATGCTCATCGCATCAGGGGCCCTTCAGCATGTCGCGCCGCCTCATCGTCCAAGGCTACTTCTGGCCAACGATGGCGCGTGATTGTGCTGAGGTCGCCCGCAAATGCAGTGCATGTCAACACTATCAAAGGGCACCTGGCCGACCTGCCGTCAACTACGCCCCGGTCAGCACTGCCATCCCATTCTCCAGATGGGGCATCGACCTCGTCGGCCCTCTACCAAGAGCTGCGGCCAACAACAGATACATCATCGTCGCCATCGACTACTTCACCAAATGGGTCGAGGCCGAACCACTCGCGAGCATCACCGGAGCGAGGTGTCGTAAGTTCGTCTACAAGAACATCCTCACCCGCTTCGGCGTGCCTCAGGAGATCATATCAGACAACGGCACCCAGTTTGAGGCCGAACCGTTCCAAAGCCTCCTCCAAGAGTGGGGTATCAAGCACCGTTTCTCCTCCGTTGCCTACCCTCAGGCCAACGGGCAAGTTGAGAACGCCAACAGAACCATCTTGGAGGGGCTGAAGAAAAAGCTTGAAGAAGAGGGCGGAAGTTGGGTCGACGAGCTCCCCAACGTCCTATGGTCCTACCGCACTACGCCGAGGAGGGCCACCGGGGAGACACCATTCTCCTTGTGCTACGGCTTCGAAGCCAAGGCTCCCACTGAAGTCACCCTCCCCAGCCGACGGGTCACACAATACGACCCCGAAGCCAATGAGGAAACCATGAAGATCGACTTGCACCTCATTGATGAAAGACGGGAGATGGCTTACCTTCGGGCAGAGAACTACAGACGACAAGTCAAATCCTACTACGACGCCAAGGTCCGCTCTCGCGAGTTCCAGGTGGGAGACTACGTTCTCCGCCGAAGGGAAGCAAGCAAGCCGACGGAAGGAGGAAAGCTCGCCGTCAAATATGAAGGGCCCTACATCATCAGCGCCGTCATCAAAGCCGGCACTTATAGACTAAAGAACCCTAATGGGTCAGATGTACCACGATTGTGGAATGTACACCACCTGGTGAAATTTTACCAATGACTCGAGAAGTGGTGAAGCGGGCAACGTCCCCCACCCCTCGACTTATTGGTTGAATAAAACACCCTCGGCCTAGCGCCACTTATTGAATAAAATTCATGTTTCATCCAATCTTTTAAGATTTGAACAAAGGGAAACCTAAGGACCGCATCGGCCTAAGCGGTGCAAACACCCGGGTTCGATGCGACCTAAAGCCGTCGCAATAAACGACGCACCTAAAGCCGTTGCAATAAACAACGCACCTAAAGCCGTTGCAATAAACAACGCACCTAAAGCCGTTGCAATACACAACGCACCTGAGGCCGTTGCGATCCACAACGCGCCTGCAAAGCCGTTGCATAGACATACGCACCCAAATATCGTATCGGCACAAGCGGTGAAACACCCAAATCGGCCGGCGATATGTAGGACGAAGGACCTGTGTGCATGGTCCGGCGTCTTCAAAACGGAGAAGCATACCGCGTCGTCCGCGCGGAAACCGCAGGACGACAAGCCTGAATTAAGGCCGAGGTTACAAAAACTCCACCCGTCAGTAAAATTTCGCTCAGGACCACAAAGGGCGGCCGTCAAAAGACGATGCCTAGTCCGGTCCCTCGTCGACGATAGACGTGGAAAGGCCAAAAAAGATGCCACTGACACACCAAGCCGAGGGCGTATTCACTCCCTCGCACTAATTCACGCAAAAAGCGCAGCAGACAAACTACCGCACATGGACGAAGGGACGGTAACCCTTCGGCCACCTAAAAAAAAAAAAGAGGGAAGCCGACGGACCGCGCACTCGCCGGCCTCGAGCATAAAATAAAATCCCCACAAAAACCAAAGCCTCAAAATCGGCTAAGTACATATCAGGTTCTCACCTAACAGGAATCCGAGGCGCACGCTTCGGCCTCAACCACAACTTCATAAAAAGGGAATCGCTTCGGTTTCGGTTATACGAAACTACATGCAAGTGTTTGGGCGACGGGAGCGCATCGTCTCCGAGTAACAAATCCCAAACGGCGAACTGAGGCAAAAACACCAAGTCAAGTTCGACACTTTGAAAAAAAAAAATTTAAAGGAAGCCGAGGCGCTACCAGCCCTTATCTAGGTATCGCTTCGTCCTCAACACACCAAAACGAAAGCAGCACACCAAGGGTTGACGAGGTACAGCGTCCCCGGTGATAACAAATGGAAAGAGGACCGCTACGTCTCAGCGGACGGATGTCACAAGATAAACTCTTGGCACTTAGAAAGATTTCAGAACTTTGGGGCCATGCCTTACCTAAGACGCAAGGGACGTAGCGCCACGCCAAGGAAAAGTTTCAACACTTGGTAAATTTTTAAAACATGTTCTGAACACAACAGTTCAGACGAAGGGGCGCATCGTCCCTATTATAAGATGCAAGGAACACGCGCAACGTCCTCACAAACATACCAGTGCGGCGAGGGTGCGCCCACATCAACACAGAGGAAATGATGGAACGCATCATCTCAAGTGGAAAAACCCAAGCGATGAACCAAATCACAGCACCCGCAAAGTAAGCTAACACTTGAAGATTTTTCCAAGATGCAACAGACGCAAAGATGTTGCGCTACCACTAGGCATCGCTTCGGCTTCAACACTCCAAAGACTAAGCCCCAAAACTTGAAAGACTTGGACAAGGAGGCGCATCGTCCCCAAGGACAGCAAAGGCAAGAAGATCGCTACGTCTTAATTAAAAGAACCCAAAACAGAAACGTGGCACTTAGACAAACGCTAAAACATTGAGACCACACCTCACTCCAGACGATGGAATACATCAACTAAGCCGTTGCGTTCTTATAACTCATAAGGGATCGCGGCATCTTAAACATGCGAGACATGTTTTGATGCTGATACTCAGAAGTTCTAAGAGAAATAAGCCTCGTGGGTACGCAGACGAAGGAGCGCTTCGTCTCAATCACGCAGGGGCGCACTCCCCCCTGATACTCGGCAAAAAATCTTTGAAAAATTAAAAAGGAATACGAAGACGATAAAGACGAAGCAACACATTCATTCAAAGGCAAAAGAGTTCGTTAATTTCAGATATCGAGTACAAAAGGTGGGCGCTTCGGCCGTTACATGCACTTTGGTGCTAGAGCTACAAAAGTAATAAAAAAAAGCAAAGTACAACCTACGCTGCCTCATCGGCTTGCTCCTTGCTCTGGCCAACGTCCTCTCCGCTGCCGCCACCAGCATCATCACCGCCGCCATCCTCATCGGCCTGGGAGTCGGCAGGCCCCTCGAGCAAATAGTCGTCACTGTCGCTCCAGGGCTCTTCCCCTTCGGACGAACTTAGGATCGGGGGCTGCCTCTCCGATAGGGGAAGCTTCAAATCCTCATCAGGATTCTTCATCCGCCGAGGGAGACTCAGACCCCTCGGCCTCATCTTCCGGAAGCGACGACGCAGCTTCCTATAGATGAGCTTCTGCATCCGATACTGGCCGCAGTCGTAGAAAGCTTGCATCTCGTTCATCCAAAAGGCTTCGCCGGCGGGATCTTTCGTCGTCCAGTCGGTTAGCCTCTCAGCGACCACCTCGTAACAGAAGGGGAGCTGATCATCGGCTTTCCACCCCTCGGCCTTGAAGTCAGCTACGGCCTTCTCAGCAGCCATCTCAGCATTGGCTTTGAGTCGCTCCGCCTCCTCGGCTCTCTTCAAAGCAACATCGGCAGCCTCTGCGGCTTCCTTCCGAGCCGCCTCAGCCTCATCAAGCCGGACCTGGAGAAGCTTCATCTCCTCCTCTGCGGCCCTGGCCTTGTCCCTCAGATCTTGGAGGGCCTCATCGGCTGAGAGAGCCTTAGCCTCCACTTTCTTGAGCCGCTCGATCTCGGCCTCCTGTCTCCAGTGCTGCTCTCTCAGCATCAAGGCACCCTGGACGAAGCAAAGTAAGATCAAAGATGAAAATGAAAACCGAGAAATCACGAAGTATGGAAAAGCATCTTACCTGGACGACATAGTCTATCCCTCCGTCATACAGCCTAACATGCTTACCCTGTCGGCCGAGATATTGGCGATCATACTCAGGCATGGCCTGAGCGAGCAAGTCGTCACCACCAACGGTCTCGTTAAAAAGACCACCCTTCACAGGGTATCGTACAGTGACTTTATACGACCCCTTGGCTAGAGCCTCTTTCAGACGAGCACTGGCAGCCGTAGCAGGGGCCACCCGAGAGGCCGAAGCAACCACGGCCGAAGAAGAACCCTTGGCCAGGTCAGTCAAAGGAGGGGCCTCGGTCAGCTGAACGTCCACAGCAGCCTGAGTAGAAGGGGCGCCGGCCTCTTCATTCACGGGAGCCCGCCTCGGCTTTTTAGAAGCTTGGTTAGGCTTAAGACCCGCTTCGGCCAGAGTCTTTTGCCCCTCATCGACTCCTCTCTTTTTCTTGGGAGCGGGCTTCTTAACGGCCTCAGCACCCCCTTGAGAACTACTGACCGACTTCTTGGCGGCCTCAGCAGCCTGGGCGGCCTTGAGCTCCGCATCGGCCTTCTTAGCGGCACGGGCCATAAAAGATATACGATCCATCTCGAAACCTGCACAAAA